CAATGACAAAGTGCGGGAGATCACCGGTCGTCCTTTGTATAGCAGCCTTCCCTGTATGATCGAGGATCAAGGGTGTGCATCCAGATCTTCTTGCAGGCCTCTCTTGATTTTGGACAGCATTAGATCATTTTCCACTTCGATCTCAATCAACTGTGCATCCAGTAACTTTGCGAAAGTAAGTGTCGCTAGTTCGGTAGGGGTGGTAATGCGTGAGAATGCATCAGCTGCTTTATTTTCTAGTCCCCGTTGGTATTGAATCTCAAAATCAAACCCTATCAACTTGGTCACCCAACGCTGAAAATTCCCATGAATCACTCTTTGTTCTAGGAGGTATTTGAGATTGCGCTGGTCCGTGTGAACAAGGAACTTCCTTCCCAACACATAATGTCTCCATTTCTGAATTGCCAACATGATGGCCATCAACTCTCTCTTGTAGATAGACTTTTGCTGAGATTTTACCGTTAATACTTGGCTGAGATTGCAATGGCCCGCTGGTTCTGCATGAGGACTGCCCCTAAACCAAAACCTGAAGCATCTGTCTCAATAATGAAAAGTTATGAGAAATTAGGAAGGGCTAATACTGGAACCGTATTCATGGCCAGTTTTAACTGTTCAAATGCTGCCTCCGCTTCCTCATTCCTGCCAAATGAATCCTTCTTCAATTGTTGTGTAAGTGGCCAAGAAATGGTGCCATAGCCCTCTACAAACCTTTTGTAATATCTTGTTAGTCCCAAAAAACCCGAAGTTCTCACAGATTACGAGGAGTTGGCCATTTTCCGTGTAAGGTGTTCCACAAGTTTTTCCAATTTGGGAAGGCGTTGCAGATTTCTATAAGAATCAAAGGAACAACAATATATTTTATTGAATTAAAATTTTAGCAAGAAAGGAAATAACAAGTAGCCATTCGAGTGGGCTAAAACTCTCCTAAAGGTCTCCCTACTACTCACTCAATAAAAGCCTCACATCTTCTCCCTCTCTGTCAACCCATTTACCTCAAAATACCTCTCCGCCCGGAAGAGCCACCTAGGGGTGTCCAAAAGTCCCGAACCGAACCGAACCGAGCGGTTCTTCGTAAATTAAATATCCGAACGGGTACCCGAATCGAGAACCGATGAGTTTGGATCTGGTATCGGGTCTAGACCAAGAACCGAAAAAGAACCGAAANGCCACCCATTTGGATTGTCCCCACTGAAAATAGGCGTTTCTAATTTTCTCACGCGCCGCCAATTATCCCCTTCTCTGTTCTGAGCGTTATTCATGGTCACCCCCTGTAGCTAGCTTCCCATGACCCTTCTGGCCATTTTCCCATGTCCAGTGCTTGCTGATTGTTTATGGTTCCATGATGATTGTTGGCAGGAATTTGCCCTTCAGTGATGCTTCCTGACCCATCCCCTTCGCTGTTCCATGTTTGGCCCCATCCTAGTATTAGAAAGTGCTGCCACGGTTTTCCTAGTCTCTTCCATTGATTGCATCATTTTGGCCATGTTTTGA